ATCCAAACGAGTTTGGGTGCCAAAGGCCAAATCAGCGCCTAAGGCCAAAGCAGGTAATATTGCTCTCTTACCTTCATCAATTTCAGATCCCGAACCTCCGGTAAAGCCCCACCGCAGCGTGGATTTCCCCAAGTGTAGGAATCCTCTGAACAACCGTATCGATGCTCTACCCGAGAATCGAGGAAAAGCGCTTGTCAAGGAAAGCTGGAGATCGCTGAAGGAGCTTCGAGCCAACATCCGGAATGGGGGTCGTACACGACCTCCTAGCAAATTGGTTGCTGCAACGACCTGTTTGACTATGCATACAAAAAATCAGGAGCCCGTTAAGGTTTCACCCTCACGAAGGTGTGATTCCAAACGTGTGACTCCCATAGAAGCCAACAAGGCAATGAACACTCAGAAGAAGACGCGTCAGACGAACGAACGCGTTATACCTGAGAACCCATGTGAGCAGCCGATAGGTTACTCCGACCGCAACGTCGATGAGTTGTACTATCAGGCTGGGGGTGCGAATGAATCTCAAAAGAGAAGTACCCGGGAAACGGACTCTCACTGTCCGTGTACCAAATTCATCAGGGCAGTATTATCAACCTGTAGCTGCCCCAAGACCGCTCCGCAGAGGGTCTCGATATTCGAGGGAAGTTCCGATGGGACAACGAAGCCCAAATCAAACTCCCACCAAAGAGGATCGGTTGATCGAGATGACGAACTCCTAGAAGTTACCATCAACATGGTCAACAAAGGAAAATCCCCAATCATTTCAAGTGGTTCCGACCTTAATTCCTCTCCAGGAAGCAGGGTCAATTCGGGAACAGCTCAGCTTCAGCTAGAAGCCGACAGATATAACAACGATCGTGGGATCCATGAAGGAGTCCTTTCCGATGATGAATCCTCAGATTCCCATTCCGCGCTCGCGCTCTCGCTTCTGACGATACAACGTCTAGCATAGGGCAAGCTCGAGAGGTACTCATGGTCAACACAGAACAGATAGCCAAAATCATCGAAGAGGCCCTGGCTAAGCAGAAGGAAATCTTCAAGTTTGACATGGAAATGGCTATGCAAGAAATGAGACAAATGCACGACCAACAAATCCGAGCTCTGTCGAACCGGCTAGTCGAGTCCAACCGTCGCACCCAGTACGCCGCAGTTGACAGCGATTCGGAAGTGGATGAAATCATCATTGCCGACGCGCCGCCCAAGAATACTGGGGGTGGCCCCACTAAAAATAACAGCGCTGGGGGTGGACCCACCAGTGACGACAACACTGGGGGTGGTCGTATCATTCCTCTCGACAATTGTCCAAAACAGGATAGAGATCAGGCCGAAAAGATGAAGGATCTCGAAAGAAAAATCGACGCCCTGATGAAGGGCTCCCCCACTCAGCATCTGATCTACTTCAAGTCCCACTTGGGGGTGATCTCTGGCAACGGACCCTTGATGGTTCGGTCATTCGTTGGCACCCTTCGCGGGCCTGCCTTCGATTGGTACCGCCGTCTCAAGCCCGGAAGCATCAACAGCTGGGAGGACCTGGAAAGCAAGTTCCTCGCCCAATTCTTTGATGATGACACCGAGGTGTCGATCAGGACACTCTTCGACGAGAAACAAAAAGGCGGAGAGTCGGTGGATACCTTCATCAAACGCTTCCGCAATCAGGCAATGAACTGCAGGGATCCCGTCACGGAGGAATTCATCTTGCAGACTTGTCAGAACAACTTGTCCATTAATATCTTGGACGTTATGGGAATAGAGCCGCTTAATACCTGGAAAGAGTTGAAGGTTCGAGGGGAGCAAGCCGAACGATTCCTCAAAAGGAAGAAAGCCGAGAGGAGCCAACTGATGGTCAACCCTCTGAATTCGGATCTCGTACCTCATGATGAAGGGGACGCGCCTGCAACGGTTATTGACGATAATCAAACGTCGCAACAGCAGTCCTGGGAACAGCAAGAGAGCTCGGACGAGACGAACAGCACGAGAATTCGGACGAGACGCTCCAAAACGAGTACTCGTTCAAAGACGAAGACGTTCCAGCTATCTTCGAGACCCTTCTCGAAAACAACAAAATCAAGCTCCCGCCCATCACGAATCAAGAGGAAGATGACGATTCTGCGGACCCGATGTACTGCGAGTACCACAGAAGGATCCTCCATCCCACCAAGGATTGCTTTGCTCTCAAGAATAGCATCCAGACCTTGGTTGAAGCCGGCGTTATAACGCTAGGGTAAGCCAATTGAAAATAGCGATACTCCAAAGAGTACGAGAGTATAAACTGTTTCTCAAAACTCCAAAGAGTACACGAGTATAAACTGTTTCTCAATACTCCGACGAGTATACGAGTATAAACTACTTCTCAAAACTCCAAAGAGTACACGAGTATAAACTGTTTCTCAAAACTCCGATAAGTATAAGAGTATAAAATAAGAGTATAAACTGCTTCTTGACACTCCGACAAGTATAAGAGTATAAACTGCTTCTTGACACTCCGAAGAGTATATGAGTATAAACTGCTCCTCAACACTCCGACAAGTATATGAGTATAAACTGCTTCTCAATCCTCCGACCGGTATAAGAGGTTAAACTGCTCTCCGATACTCCAATAGGTATATGAGTCTAAACTATTTCCTACCATTGACGGGAAGTTCCTGGAGGATATTACACTAATATTCTTAAGGATAACCCGGTCGGGTAACAAAGTCAAACCCAGTTCCAAGAAAAAAGCTGGGAGTGGATAATCCAATGCATTGGGAAGTTCCCGGAAGAATACCACATGGGTATTCTTAGGGATAACCCAATCATTGTGGATCCAATGCATTGGGAAGTTCCCGGAAGAATACCACATGGGTATTCTTAGGGATAACCCAATCATTGTGGAATTGGTGAATAAGAAATTCACGTTCGAACCCTGAAGGTCAGAATATCTCTCCTTATTTTCTAACTCTTATGAGTTATTTTTGTGAGAAGAGATCCAATCTTCTGGTAGGTTAATCTTTCCTCACCAAACCATCTGCTGAAACGACAGTGGATCCACCAACATTTCCATTTGCCCGTCATTGGCGTTTCCTAGACTTAACATGCTAGGTCCTAAACGCCTAGCATTAAAGTCTCCTTTTGAGTGATAAGACGAGTTGGCATTTTTGTTGCTATCCGTATTGTACTCTCTTCGCTTTCTGGTCAAACCTATAAAAGTTAGGGCCACAGCCAAAATCCCCTCTCGATTCCTCCTAAAAGTTAGGGCCACAGCCAAAATCCCCTCTCGATTCCTCCAATGAACGAGAGGTCCACTTTCAAATCGAGTGGTCAAACCTTCCGACAGAACGAGAGGTCCACTTTCAAATCGAGTGGTCAAACCTTCCTACAGTTAGGGTCATCTCAAACTCCTGCTGGGTCAAACCTTCGTACAGTTAGGGCCACGGTCAAAATCTCCTCTCGATTCCCCCAACGAACGAGAGGTCCACTTTCAGATCGGGTAATCAAACCTTCCGACAGTTAGGGTTATCCGAATTGTTACGATTCTCGGAGTGGAGATCTCACTCTTAGTTTCATCCTTCCGGATTCTGGAGGTGAAGATCCCACCTCGAGTTTCCTTTCCAGCTGTAGATAGAATATAAAATTCTTCCTCTTCAGCACCGAGAGATAGAATATAAAATTCTTCCTCTCCTCGGACCTTTCCGATGCTCGGAGTGGAGATCCCACTCCCAGTTCATCATTCCGGATTCTGGGGGTGGGGGATCCCACCTCAGGTTCCCTTTCCAGCTGTAGATAGAATATAAAATTCTTCCTCTTCAGCACCGGGAGATAGAATATAAAATTCTTCCTCTCCCGTTTCTCAATCTGTCTTTGCTTTTAGAAAAGACACGATTGTCAAATCCGGGCACTCGATGCACGGGGAATTTTATCCCGAAGCCTGAGTAGGGATAAGTCAACGCCTAACACGCGTTGCCGGGTAGTCTATTCCCGTAAGAAAGACGAAGTCTATGTATTCAAAATCATAGCATTAAGTCTAAGGGAAGTAATTCTCTTAGCACAACGTTACATGTGAAACGGGTTTTAATAATTCACATGCTAGCCCGATTCAAACGGTAATCGGTAAAGGCACGTCAAACCCGTTGATGGCTGGGGGTTTGCCAAAAATCCCAAAGCCTACGTCTAACACGCGTTGCCGGTTAGTCTTTGACCGTAAAAAGGACAAAAGATCACATATTCAACATTGTGACAGGTTGTTATTAATAACACCATAATCCATGCTTCACACGCACGGGGAATTTTATCTCGACTCCTAAATAGAGATAAGTCGACGCCTAACACGCGTCGCCGGGTAGTCTATTCCCGTGAGAAAGACGAAGCCTATGTATTCAAAATCATAGCACGAAGTCTAAGAGAATTCACTCTCTTAGCACAACGTTACA